AAGATAAAACGGTAAAACCGAGTAGATAAACAAGTGCTCCTCATAAACAAAATGGATCTATTACAGCCACAACGACGCTCCGTTAAAATGGCAGGTGATGCGAACACAGATAAATGATATGTCTGGAAATGACAAGAACTGAATTAACAAAAGATCTTTTATTTTTGTCTTTCCTTTTTTTATTAGGTCATTAACCGTAGCAATAAAATTCTATTGAAATAAAAAATGATGCTATTTTAATGATATCTCAGAACAGTCTTAACTATCAACGATAAATTAAATTGATAAAGTTTTATCAAATCTTGTTAATTATCTATAAAAATAATTAAATATTCCATTGTTAAACAAAAACATAATATTATAGGTACTAATATCGCATTCGGCCCTTCTTACCGTCCCACTGCTGGAAACAGGGCTCCCTGCAATACTAGGGGGATCAAGTCATAGTCCACCACACTGACCAAGTACGGGTTGGCGGACTACATATTATGTCTTTCCAGAACTCGCTAGGTTCTCTCAGACGTGCAAGTTTCCACACGATATTTTCCTTCACCATAAAACAAGTAATAATCTTGTTGGAAATGATTTGCACATGCATATCAGAGGCGCGAGACCCCGGGGTTTCAACCCACTTCACTCGGTCTCCCAAGCGAGTGCGCTACCACTGGCCTGGCGCTGCCTGTTATACTATTATATTTAATAATTATATTTTGTTTCATATTCGTATATGTTAACATTCATATTTTTAGACACAAAAAAATCCACTTCTATTAAAATTGAAATTGTAATACTTAGGTGTATTTTAATGTTTTTCTTGGCGTTATTCGTTATTCGTCGAACGCGTTATAAAATAGCTCAATGTTAAGAGTATTGCTTATTTGGGATCTAGTTCTATACACCACTGTGCACCAAGCGTTGACTGTTGTGGTAAGAAGTTTATTCTCAATGATCTTTATCAACTCTCTAGCGCAAAAAGCTCTTTTCATAGTCATGGTTCCCTAAATGAACCGCCATTGACGTTCATGCTCTTATTTAATCTTATAGAATTTAGATAATTCTAGAATATATGCATAACAATCATAGCGATGAAAGGGAAAAAGGGGCTTTTAGTTAAAAAAAATGTCTTAAACTAAAAAACTCATAATATATCTTTAATAAAGTAGCTGTGCATGTATGTAACTTATTGGTCAGTGCCATGGACATCTATAACTAACATATTAGAACTTATAATTGAGAATGAATTCAAATTGTATTGTGTTGGAGTTCTTATTAATTAAAAAAAATTGAACTCGATTCTCTGCTAACAGTCAAACGAATTCAAGACACGCAAAACTGAAATGACAGTTGATATGAACATAGACAAATGATTCACTGGAAGTGTCGTGGATGTAATTAACAGAGCCTCCATATGGGTCTTTGTTATATGTCATCATCATTAACATCGCTGACAGTAAATTACGTTGCTATCTTTTATGTCGCTGCTACTTGGGATTCTGCACCTATCTCGACGAAATTAGGCCACCTAGATCTAAAATCTAAAACAGAAAAGGTTTATCTTTTTTGCTTTTGAGAAAATATACTGTGATTCAATGGAGCATTTTGTAAAGGTAACACTAAAATTCTTCCTAAATGGCTTAGAGAGAATTTTTCTCAGGGTCTTTAGTTTTTCTAGGTTTATTTATTTATTATTATTTTTTTTATCACAAATGTTTCTTATTGACAACAAGAACATTACCAATATATGTACATTGTACGAGTACATATTATATATTAGAAAGTCAAGACATATAAAATATAAAATAAATCAATATACAAAAGAAAATATTGGGGAAAGTTAAGAATAAGAAAGTGTCTTCTAAAAATCTAAATTAAAAATATTCAAATCGTTTACCAAATCTTAGAATATATATGACCCAACTTACACGCCATTTATGAATCTTGACTGTAACATATCTCCTTCTGGATATAGGGAAAATATTTTCATTACGCAGGCATATCGTACAACACGAATGGATATTTCTATATAGGCACACGTTTCTTTCACATTTTTTATTATTGGATACATGACGATATATTTCTCATACATTAAATACGCTGAGCACGTACGACATCTCGCAGCAAAATAATATAAGGTCAGCAAATTGCGGGAGCTATCACTCGAAATTAGTTGTTTTGTCTCTCCAACTTCATATAAGATACTTTATTATTATCGGGCAAATAAAGTAAAGAACATATTAGGGCTAGTGTCAATTATTATTATTAGTTTGCTTCCCTTATTGTTTAATATCGTATTTTATTGGAGAGTTTTGTTATACAGTAGGTAGTTCTAAATTATAGCACATGCTAGCAGAACCCGCGGCTTCGCTCACGCTAAAACTAGAAAAAAACTAAAAGTAGGTTTCATACAAACTTTCATCATCTATTTTACCCTCTTATGAAATGAATTTTGAAATATGATCTAACACGTATTTAATTAATTATTGTATTGAAGAGTATTAATATCAAGTTTCAAGTAATTCTGATCATAAATATTTTTTTGGATTGTGTTATAACGTGTTTTCCCTTTGGGAATGAGATAATTTCCCGCGGTAAACAGTATTGTATATGTTGACCCGGATAACCATCTATCACCATACCAAATTTCATCAAAATCCCTGCAGTAGTTTTTCTGTTAATCGGTAACAGACAGATAGACAAAAATTCTAAAAACTATAGATTCGGCCTCTGTATCGATTATAATGTCTATTTCAATAAGATTTTCCAAAAAATATTTAATGTACAGACTCGGATTAGTTACAATTTTATTATATGTATAGATGTTTTTAATTCGAGTATCGATCTATAAGTAAAATAATAAAAAAAACAGAAAAACTGTTTATCAAATTGTACATATAAGTTACGAGGAACTTTCCTTAAAGGAGGTTCTTGTGAAATCCATGCAGTGTAACTACTGCACACTTACAAATCTTACCTATCATTTACCATCTATCCCTTGTCATTCCGTTTAGTAAACAGGATAAATAGTCTGATCTATCCGATTTAAAAATCTATGTAGTGCATTTTATCTAAACTTATTGGGCTGTGAAATGCACTCGAATGTATTATAGAAGACATAGCGAAAAATGTGATGTAATCCGCTCTTTTCAACGTCCTACTGCTCAGCACTGGCCATACTTTAAATTTACCACATAAAATTATATTGTTTAAAACTAGGTATTTAAATAAAAAAAATATATATAATCTACTATACTTAAAATTTGGCTTAAGTCATTATTTTCAGTGGTCCAACTTTACCTACTACTATACTTTACTTTCATGGCGGTACTTGTAAAAAATAATAATAATGTTGAATATCAATCTTTAAAACTTTAATGTATAACTGACATTGTAACGGCATTGTTATTATTGTGTGGCTTTTTAGTTAAATATATGCTAAATTTAGTGATAATGTCTAAATGATAATTTAGTGATAATTCTTTTATGTCATAGAGGAATGACCTGTCGTCTGTAATACAGGCTCGGCCTAGTACAGTCGGCAGTGACAAACTGATGTAAGTAACCTAAATTGTAATTAGCTTTATTTTGCACTTACTGTAAATCTAGTGTAAAAACGTATGCTAATAAAGTTTTATTATTATTACTTAAATACGAGAGGGATCAGATAGTAAGTACACTACGCTGGTCAAGTGCTGGTTGACTGACTTCACTTGGCTTTCTAATATGCTAGATTCTCTCAGACATGCAAGTTTCCTTACGATGTTTCCTTCAGCGTGAGACGAAGTGTTAAATAATGTTAGAAATGATTTGCATAAGAAAATATAAGAGATGTGAGTCCCGGAATTCGAACCCGCTTCACTCGGTTTGCCAAGCGAGCGCCTTACCACTAGGCTAATGTTTTTAGCAGTCTATTTTAACTCTCACCGGTCGTGTCGAATTTTGGTCCCATTGGACTTTGAGAGTAACAGGAATAGAGAGTGCATTTCTGCCTGCGTATACACTTGTGTTTTGTTCACTATAATATCCTGCGCATCTGGTCAGTCTCAGTGACATTGGCTATCGTGGGCGAAGTCATGAGAAGTTTATTATGTCTGCAGATCGAGAACTCTTGAGTTCGAGTCCTGGTTCGGATTGTATTTCCACAAAAATATGAGAATAAATAGAAGATTAGGAAGACATTACTTACTATACATATTTTAACATATTAAGTATCGACAGCTACAGCAGGTCGCCCAGTCTATGAAAGTTATAAAACTGTTTTATGTATCGTAAATACTGCTACGGTAGCTTTTAAGTGCTTTCAAGTTTCATGAGTTAGTAAATACTCATGTTTTGCTAACTAGAAAACATCTATAATCTAAGCTCCTACAAAACTTTGAAAGTATCGGGTAATTCTAAAGTTTAAAGTTTAAGAATGATATTCAAGTCGTAAGCCTGCTAAGCTGCTGCTAAGCACACAATGCTACGAGTAACTTCGTTAAAATTTGTTTATGAAATTCTTACGTGACATATTCTAAGGTTATGATGTCATCCGCAAAAATGAAACTTTAACTGCATGTTCACTTACATAGTATATATATGTAAATTGTATGTCGTCTTATGCACGGCTTACCAAAGTTAAAAATATCATATTTTTAGAGTGTGTATTATAAACTAAACTGCTATAGCATAGTATTTAAAGAAATTTGAAAAAAATAATAACAATTTTAATAAAATGAATAAAAGATAAAATTGTTGTAAAACGCCCTTAGAGATAAGCAGGCAACTGCTCTCACACACCACCTTTTTCCATCACCTTGATATTTTTTTAAAGGAATAAGTGTGACATGCATATATGCCATATGTATCCCAACAGTGCTTTCCAAGACTAACTCTAAGATTTGTAGATATGGTAGTAGAGTTGATGACATCTTATTCATGCGTATTAAAACTATTTTCCTTTTGTTACAGATAAGTATTGAAAAAAATAATATGGTTTAAAGAAATGCGCTGACCGGGTCAAGATGGCGACTAGTTTAGTGTTGTTGGCGCTTCATCTAGCTGTAGCGGCTGCTGGGAAGTGTACTACGTAAGTTGTAAATAGTATTATTATCTATTTATATAAATAAAAATGAACGTTACGTGTATTCATATTCGTCCTCTACGTACTCTTAAACCATTGATCCGATTGTGATGAAACTCTGGTGGGTTTTGCCTGTATATGCCTGCAAAGGTACTTGGCCCAAAAATGAATTTTTCTCTTGCTGTTTGTATTTTATGAGATCCTAAGCCATTCAAGCTTAGGGTCGCTAGTAATAATAATATAAATATAACAGCGACTCACCCTCACTTCGCTCGAGTTCGTCCCTAGGTTTATTCCCCATACAAACTTTCATCCCCATTTTCACCCCCTTAAGGGATGACTTCTGGGATAAAAAAAAATCCAGGGTCTCAAACTATCTTCTTACCAAATTTCATCTAAATCGGTTTAGTAGATCCAGAGATACCCTACAACGTCACAACTCACAAACTACCTCTTTATAATATTAGTATAGATTGATAATTTTATTCATTTTCTAAATAAGAGCGATGAATATAATAGTAATATTGAGCGTTTTCCTACGACTTATGTAATGAGATATTGCCTTTATGACAAAAAATTAAGTTTTTAGGTTTAAACAGAAAATTTAAAGTAGAATTCAAAATCGAGTATATGTTATGTTACATAATGCTAGCAACTTACCCTGGCTTTGCTCGAGTGCGTACCTAGGTGCCTAACAGCATACTATGTGCTTTCGTCATAGTCTCTCTGGTTACTAAAAATTTGAACCCGTCCAGATATTTCAGTGTCCTTCAGTAACAATAAACATACACCAAAACAAACTTTGTTTGCTTGCATATAGAAGAAGATAGGAGTTGGATATCGAAAATATAAAATTTTGAAAATTTTATACACATATGTAATGTGTATCCATACTAATATTATAAATGTGAAAGTGTGTTTGTTTGTTTTTTTGTTCACGTCGAAACGGAGTGACGGATTGGCATGATTTTTTGTGTGAAGATAGTTACAGGGCTGGAGAGTGACATAGGCTACTTTTTACTGTGGGATATTACTTGAAATTTGGTATTAGTGCCCTTCAATAAAATTAAATAAATACGTGTTTTAGCATATTTCGAAACTCCTCCTATGGGATAAATAGGGGATGAAAGTTTGTATGAAACTACTTTTTAGAGATTTTTTGCAGTTTTAGCGCGAGCGAAGCCGCGGGTTCTGCTAGTACATAATAATTATAATATCAACACCTTTAAGTATAGAATAAAATTAGAAAAGATATATAAAATACCATTTGCTATTTTAGAATTCTATTCGCATTTGCAAGCAAAAACTAAAAATTTATGCATCGTAGGCATTTTAAAAGTGAAATGACGTTCATCCTATTATGCCATCAGGATTAACAATGAGCACATCACGCATGAGGGCTCGCAACAACTCATTACGCTAATATGCGTTATGTGTGTTGCAGCGTATTTTTAACCGACGCATAAAACTGTAATATACCGAACCATTCATTATTAAATTTTTAAAATGACAAAATATCCAAAAACACAAAAAAATTAGTATCAATTCTCCCTTTATAAATTAGTACCTCCACGACCGCGGACACGCCGGCGTTACAGTTAACAATAGATTTCTTAGAAATTTATTTATTTTTTAGAAATTTACCTGTAGGTGTTTTCGTGACTACTTTGACATATAGGTTTTTTTTAGGACGTTAACACACAATACCATCTAGTTCCATGGTAAGCTACGGGGCTTGTGTTATGGATATCAGATAGTTGATACATATACATATATAACTTTTAATACATATATATTATAAATATGACTGGAGTACAAACATTCGTGCTCATCACACAAATGAATGATGACCCCAGCGGGACTCGAACCCGCGACCGCTGGCGCAGCACGTAGGGTCACTGCAAACTGAGCCAAACGTGTCGTCTAGTATATAGTATGTACATATATAATATAGTATGTACTATGTACACTATTTTTATATAGCTGTTGAAATAATTTCTTTTTTAATCCAACTTCATTGAACCATTTTCCAAAGAAAGATTTTTTAAGAAGGGATTACGTAAAAGTCGGAAGCTTGTATAAAAAACCTTAATTTTAAATGTTAGCGGTAGAATAAAATTACGGCGGCTGCACGGCATCAAGACTTGAATTCCACGAAAGTTTCTTTTACCTTAAATTTGAATATTCTAAAAGCATTTCAACTTGACCTTTCTCTTTTAAATTTCGACTGTGAAGTCACACATTCTACAGAGTCAATAAAGCTGAATGTTTACTTTTAAGCGGAAAAAATTCTGCGCCCTTACTATAAAGCCTTCATGTACCCGTTAGACGTTAGCGAATATGTAAAACTTACCGTTTCCAAATAGTCTTCGTTTAAATGAAAATATAATGCCACATTTCTACGCTAGTTCGTATAGTAAACAAACATAACTTTACGATAGCTATATATAGAAGCAAACACTTGACCTTTTAAAAGAGAAACCGTGTTTTTAAATGTTCTTCTATGAAAAAATGTTAGGTTAAAACCGACAACCGGGACGAAAGTGAAAATGTGTCAAGTGTGAGAGGAGTGAAAATATAGCTGCTTTAGCGCAAACAACTTTGTGAGACCTTCATTTAAAATATCACTTTCGAATGAAAGCGCTCGTCAGTTATTTTGGATTAATTTTTAGACTTTTTGGTCTTTTCATTATACACGAAGCTTGATTACCGTTTTTTTTCATTTGGATTTTGTAACGTTGAGTTTTAAATTTTCTTTGGCGTATAACCTTAGCGCTTTGCGAATATGAATTTTCACTGGCTTTAATAATAAATGTTTTTATAACTACTATACTATTTATTACTACTTTTTGCATAAATTCTGTTAATTTGACGAATTTTTATAATAAAATTTAATATTTAAAGAGAAAAAGTTTGTGTTGTTTTTACATAAATATAATAAGTTTTACAATTGTTTTACGTGGGCGTTTGTTTTTTATATAAAATATTTCTTTGATAAAGGTAATAGAAAATGATTATAAATAGATTTTATATTATGAAAATATTATATAAAATAAAAAAAAACCGAAAAGATAGTTTTATTAAAAATACAAATACGTACTTGTTTGTACGTGGTTTATATATTAATTTCTAAATTAGCTAACATTTTATAGATTGTTATTTTCCCCAATTACATTGGTTCTATTCAAACTGTTTCATTAAGCTATACAGGGGACCCTAAAATTTTATGCTAACTGTGAAACTTCGACGATAATCATTTTTCAAAGGCCACGGGGTGTTGTAAAACGACTTGCAAACAATGGGGTCTTCAGTGGACTAATTTTATTCTGAAAAGTCATTGCCCTAACGACATCTTAACTTTACTGTGAGATGAATGGTAGATTCTGGAAGCTGTGTTCTCGTGTAAGACTTTTCTTGATAGGATCAGTCAGCTTTGAATGTAACGTATACGAAATAATACTTTTAGTAAGTATATTTATAACAACACTAAAATTTACTAGAAAAAGACAAAGTATACTTTATATGTATATATGTACATATGTACTAGCGGCTTGCTCCACTCGGGTTTATGCCTACGTTTTAAAGGTAGTATAGATCCCTCAGAACTTAGATATTTTTCCGCAGTAAAAAGTATCCTAAATATTGATCCGGATAATCAGCTATCGTCATACCAAATTTCATTAAAATCTGTCATGGTTTTCTCGTGATGCGTTCCCAGACAGACAGGCAAAAATTCTAAAAACTATAGATTCAGCCTCTGTATCGATAATAATGGCTATTTCAATAAGATTTTCCAAAAAATAATTTATGTACAGATTAGGCTCAGTTACAATTTTACTATATGTAAAGATAGATAAAATTAGGGGTATGAAAACTGATAATATAATAGTAAGTAATCATGATGTTAACATAAAGTATGAATGTTTTAATAATATATAAAAGATTATTTAAATAACAGATTTTTGAACACCAATTTAGTGATAGATAGGCGGATGACATTTATATTTCTGGCGATTAAGCAACTGACAATTTGGACGTCTCTAAGAAAATTTGTCAAGTGAAAATGATTAGTCTGAAAATTTTCTTTTTAATTTTATATATCGGTCATTTTTGTTAAATTATTGTTTAATTTATTTAACAAAACTTAAGTCTATATTTTTAATATTTATTGATTCAGAGACATTTGATATATGTACAAATATATTTATTTACATTTACGAGGTAAAATTCTGTTTAAAATCTCCATGTTTGTATCAAAATCAGTAATAATTTACTTTCATTAACATTATTCATACAAAAATATAAATGGAAAAAAGAAAAATGGAAAAAAATCGCGTTTTAAAACTAAAAATTTATTGGATCAGTATCAGGCTACAAAGTGAGGTTTGTGTTGTAAATTAACGATAGATAAACTTATAATATTGAAAGTATTTCCATTAAATTAAATCACGTTGATAAATAAGAGCGAAATTTTATTTATTTTCTAAAGTCACCTATTTAACTGAAGTAACTTGACGACAGTCCTTCAAAGGGCTCTCAAGTGCCCCTAAAACTTTTTTCTATTGTTGGCAACCCTTCTCAGGGTACGGGGTAGCACAAATAATAAATATGCTATATATGTTTATTCCCGTTGTTAAAAAGGTGCTAAGGTATATAACTCTATGCTATTATATAATAACAAAATCATTTCCATTGTACATAATGTACAATGGAAACGGTTTTTTGACGATATGTATAAAAATTATTATAAATTAATATATTTTTGGTTGTCTTGAATGTTTCTGCTATATTATTGGACGTACAAAAGCGTACTATGAAAAAAAAGGCCTGTGGTCGCTACACTATTGAAGCGAGTTTGTTACTAAATATGGTGTATCACAGTTGTTAACTTACACATACGTATACTCAGCCTCTTTTTAACGTTCCACTGCTGAGCACGGGCCTTTCTTCAATACGCGAGGGATCAGGCCATTGTCCACCACCCTGGCCAAATGCGGGTTGGCGGA